GGGTTTAAATTCAGGTTGCGGATGATGGAGCGGTGTTGGGTGAGGGTGGAGGAGGAGGGGGCCAGCCCACATCCCTATGTGAGGGGAGGGGCGCACGGCAGTGTCAAGTCGATGGCCCGTGTCATCCACAATGCAGGCAGCTTCTCCTGTTACAAAACATATTAGTTAGTCAATTAAAGCATTAATATATACTTCACTTACCTGTTTGAGGTGTTTTCAGGGCTGGATGGCCAATAGGAGAGGTGGTAGGAGACGAGGATGCCCATGATTGTCACGACCCGTCCCTGGCTCCCGGCACAATTATCCAGCTCCCGAGGCTGTATCCAGCTTCCGAGGCTTGTGGTAATGAGCTGTGCTCTTCCGGGATGCTTCCGAGACATCTGGGAACGAGCTGTGCGCTTCCGAGGCACTTCCGAGGCGAGCCATGTTTCCGGCTCACTCCATTGTGTCTCCCAGCCATTGTCCCATTGTCCTTCATTGTTCTCCTTGTCCCGGCTAAGTTATCTATTACATAATCATGGTCCATTATCCTACATAGCATAAATACCCATGTACAGTAGTAGATTCCTCAGTCGGAATATCGAGCTCGACATACCCCCTTTTCTCTAGTTCACTGCCGGAATCCGGCTCCTCCCTGTTCATCCGAAATTGGGGACACCCAGACGTTGCGTGGTGGCACAGCTGCCCTTTCCGTCAAGCTGAAGCCAAGTCCCCACCCCATCCAGCACGGTCGTTACAATGATCAACCATGGTTGAACATCGTTGATTGTATTTCAGCCATTGCCGTATGGCCTCTGATTGGCTGATGAGTTGCTGGTCCGAACCCCGTCTTCCGCTCTCAAGCAATGGAATGTCTCTGTGCTCACGCGTAGGCTGTTCATCCATGTAATAAATAGCATATATATTTCTCCACATAAAGGACAATGTGTGTACAAACTTTTAAAGAGATCCGATGAGGTTTGAGCTCAGAATAACCCACACACATGGCTTCCGTGGTGATTTCGGGCCATTGTGCAAGTACCTGCCTGTGTATACACCAGTAAAAAATAGTGAGATGTACTACTTACTTGAGGATTTGAACATACAATGTGTTCTCTACAATATTTGGGTCTCCCCTGAACTATGGCTGCATTCCGAATGTCCCAATCTCGAAATGCCCACTTTGGTGGTAAGATTTCTGTTGAAACCCACAGTGCCAACACTGTCCTTACACATCTCCAGCATGTCTAGACAAATTCATGTTTTTAAAGTCATGTAAATAGATTTAAATACACTTTTATACTTGTACTCTATATTTATTTTGCAGAAATGAGGCGCCGATGTCTTTTGAGGACGTCGTCAACGTCCTGCACAAAATTAGGAACAGGTGGGCCGGCGATTCCAGCCAATCAGGTCATGTGCAGGAGTTTCCGAGAGCGCAAACAACAATGGTCAAACATCGTTGATTGCTGCTCTTGACCACCACCTGGCATGCCTCAGCCTCTCGAAATGCACTAATGCGCTCACATTTGTCATATTTAAGGTATGTATTGCTAATTTCTATCAATACAGCTGCTTGTTTACATATTCTATACCTCTAGGATGCCCCCTTGCATGCACAACGGAGTGCTACCCCACTGCGTGCCCCTCCCCTTCAAGAAGGGATGTGGGACGGCACATTTGTGTCTACGGTAGCTCCCACCCCCTCCCTTGCTCCCTCACCTGACCCCACGGCTGCCCGACCCTGCCCTCTCTCACCCTCGACACCGTGGACTCCCGACGGCCTGCTCCATCTGTGCTGTGTGCCCCTCCCTTTCAACAAAGGATGTGGGCTGGCTTTGACTCAATTCCACACCCCTTTCCACGTCTGCCAGCGTCCTGAGCCCCGCCGTTACACAGATGAGACACAGATAGCCAGGAGAGCATGGTGAGAGGGAAAGGAACCCCTCTTGTTGTCTCGCCATCTCACTTTCAACTATGCGACAGGAACGACCATGAGCACAGCAGGCAGTGGCGAGTACGCGCACGGCGAACTACTCCGAGACGTGCACGCAGGCAGCAGCAGCAGCACATGGACGTGTACGAGAACGGGGGACGAGCACGAGTAGCAAACAGGTATGTGGCTGCTCTCCGTCCCTCATGTTGGTTGCTCACCCACCCCCTGAAATCCATCCCAGGATGATCAGCACCGTATGTCTCACCACAAACGATGCCAATGCATCCTCCCTCAAAAATCCATAACGGTCAGCATGGGCGCCATCGTTTCACCTCCACGACTGCAGGATGATCACCTCTGACCACCCACCGTCCTCATTCTCACCACCCGCCCCTCGTCCCACCTCCTTGTTCCCCCCTCTTGCATTGTACACGGAGCCACAGCGTCCTGGTGACACTATGCAACATTGTATGATGGATTTTGGGCTGCAACAGGAGTTGGAAAGCCAGAGACGGGGCAACGGGGTTGTGTGTTCCTGCCACCTCGCCACCTCTCACCTCTCACCCACCTCCTGCACCTCATCTGTAGAGGCACGGTGTTTCGAAACGAGGCCGAGCAAGCAAAGGCGACAACAATTGCAAGCAACAGCAACAACGGCGAGGAACCCCAGCAGCGACAACGAAGACGGCAGCGAAAAACGACGAAGAAGACAACAGGGGTGAGGAACGGTGGCGACGACAGCGGTGGCGAGGGACGACGACGAAGGCAGCAGCGATGGACAATTAAGACGGCGGCAGCGGCGACAACGAGCCACACCCTACGGCCCATCCCTCCATACGGCCCACGTGGCATCCCTCGCCCTCCCTCGTATCTCAGCCCACCTCCTGCCCATCGCTCGCAGACCCTCCTCACCTCGCATCACCTCACCCCAACCCTCAGCTCCTTCCCTTTCAGCTGTGGGATGCTTTTGTTCATCACCCACCTGCCAACTGCCAGCACGACCACGGCAGGAGCACGAGCAAGCACGGCGTGACGGCAAGTGCGATCCATACCCCCCAAGTAAAAACAGCACGCCATAAACGTGCCGTTTTTGCTCTTTCTTCTTCCATCTCACAGAGGGTGGCTATTAGAGCCACCCTTAGCCACCCTCACCATATAATTATTTTATTATCATTTAATATATTTTTTCGTGATTTTTTTCGATGTGATTTGTGTATGCCCAAGCTCGCCGGACCCGAGGTACCTAAAAATAACCAAAGCGCCTAAAAACGTCATGTCATCCAAACTACCCCCTCCTAATCCAGCCTATCCCGCCCCTCCGACGGCAGGGGAAATGGTGCAGAATGGCGAGGAAATATGTTTCCTCGCCGTTGGCGCCCTTTCCCCGTCGAAAACAAGGGCGGGAGTACCCCAAACAACGAGGAACAGTGTTCGGGCACTGTTTCCTGCGTTGTTTGCATGTATTGACAGGTCCCGCCCGCAGCTGCGAGCCCTGGCACACACGGCAAAGCCACCCACCAGCCTCTTCATAGGTGGACTGTAAAATCACAGTCCTGACATATAAGCATACCTTGTTAAAATACAGTATCTGATATAGATTTCTAGCAGACATGGCTGTACATGTAAACAATGAAGGAAACAGTGTTTGGACACTGTTTCCTCGTCATTTACGGCCCTCCTGTCACTGTTTCGGCAGGGAAAAAGCACCAATGACAAGGAAACATATTTCCTCGTCGTTGTGCACCGTTTCCCCCATTGTCAGGGGGCGGGAATGGGTGGATTGGGACAGGGTGCTTTGGATGACACTTGGCATTTTTACCGTGTCATCTATTTTTAGCTGGGATTCTTTCTGTACACACAAAAATACGAAAAAAATTGTATTAAATTGTAAAAAAACAAATACATGATGCAGGTGGCTAGTAGAGCCACCTGCTACGAAATAGGGACAATACGAACAGAAACGGCACTTCCTAACATGCCGTTTCTGTCCAGGGGGGCGGAAGAGGTCCCCCTATGCCTTCTCCGCCCCTCGTTGGGCTCCCTCCTCCCCCTCCTGTGCTTGTTGGGGCCCCATCTGCCCCCTCGCATACTTGCGGGGTCCCCTCTGCCCCCTCTGCTCCCTCCTCTGCTCGATCGCCCCCTTTGTTGCTTGTTGGGCCCCTTCAGGTGCTTGTTGGACCTCTTCGGGTGCTTGTGGGGGCTCTTCGGGTGCTTGTGGGGGCTCTTCGGGTGCTTGTGCTCCCCCTCCTCGTGCTCTCCTTATGCTTGAGCTGGTGGTGGTGGGTGCTGAGCAGGAGGCGAAGGCCAGGGGTGACGGGCGAGGGAGGAAGGCCGGGACGAGGAGGGAAAACAGCAGGTGGGGCAAACACGGGGTGAGGGAGGGAGAACGGGGGGCAAGGCCAAAGCCAAAGCCAAAGGCAAGAGGGTGGGTTGACGTCCTGGGCCCGCTGTCGCCATCCGCTGGTCCTGCTGCCCCTGTTCGTACCCGCTGTCATCGTCTGTCGCCATCACCATTTGTCGCCGTCGTCATCTGTCGCCGTCCTTGTCTGTCGCCATCATCGTCTGTCCTCGTCCTTGTCTGTCGCCATCATCGTCCATTGCTGTCCTCGTCTGTCGCCATCATCATCCATCGCCGTCCTCGTCTGTTGCCATCCTCATCTGTCATCGGACATCCGCCGTCGTCGTTCGTTGTGGTTGTCCGCCATCTGTCGTTCGTCGCCCATGCGTCGTTGTTTGCCCCTCGCCTTCCGGTCGTCCCTTGCCGCCGTCTTTTGTTTGCCCTTTGCCGCTGTCCTTCATTCGCCCTTTTCTGCTGTCGTTGGCTCCACAGATGGGTGGGAGGGTGGTGCCAGCAGGGGGAGGAGGCAAGGCAAGGGGGAGGGGGAAAGGTGAGAGAGGGGGAGGTGGGGGTTTCGTGCCTCCGCCCACATCCCTATTGAAGGGGAGGGGCATGGGAGGCAAAGAAAACGAACGTTGACTTTAAGTTGATGTTCGTTCACCTAATGTTAGTTGAAAAACATGTATTAGAGTAGATATTTATGAAGAAAACATATTACTCACCTTTTTTGTGGTCTTGAGGTGTCATTTGTGGTGGTGGACAAAGGGGGGAGGCCAGGTGGTGGTTGAAGATGAGAATCAACGATGCTCGCTGTTGTTGATCAGTTATCCAGCGGATGCCATGAACGATGTGATTGGCTGGCGCTCGCGGTCCAGCCAGTCCACGTTCTGCTTGTCGACCGCAGAATGGCTCATGCACTCGAGATAGGATGGAATTCTCGTTCTTTAGCGTCGGTAATTAATTAAATTACTGTATTCTATGTATTAATAAATGTCCGGGCATGATCTGAAGTCGAGACCATGGTGGAGCCGAGGTCGTTGCCTCTGCATGGTGATTGTCGTTTTCCTGGGGTTCCAACCCTTCGAAAACCACTCGTTCGAGAGTCTGAAACACCCAAACAACTTTGAATTTTGGATACTTGAGTGAGTAAGTACAACATATCAAAAAATGAGCATACATTTCCAATGTAGATCTTGTGCTACAATCCAGGTCTCAACAATTGACACATTTTGAGTGGATTTCATTACAGAATCCACTTCATTGTTTGCAATTTCTGATATCACATCCTGTAAGTAATAAATTGGTCAGGGGAGCCTCATTTATAAGCACTAATATTATCAAACACTCTATACAGCATTTTTACATATTTAATTGGCCTTTTCTGCCCCTTGGAATCTACCATACAGAGGTGAGAGTGCAATAGTTGGCACGAGCAAGAGATGGTTCCACATGTAAAATATTTCTGTTTCATTAGATCTCAATTTAAACTAAAGTAATAGATACATTTGCATACTGATCACAATTACTGAGGGTTTTGAGAGAGACGAAAGCCGTTTTGCATGCGTCGGAGACGTTCCATTGGTCAACAATGGAACGGAGTGGATTCGGGCTGCAAGTCCCAGCCAATGGGATGCGTGGCCGGAATTCGCCAAACCGTGATCAACGATGTTCAACATCGTTGATCTGAGTCTTTCTCCACCACTCCCTCACTGCAAGGCAGCCCCGCAACACAAAAAAAGGTAAGTATATTTCTTTCTTATGCTATTTACATCCCTACTAACCGTCCCCTGCCTTCACAGAACACTGTTCACGTCAATGACGACGCAACGAAGCGACTGAGCCCCTCCCCTTGCGACAGGGATGTGGGCTCGGTCACCTCCCTGCCTGCTCACCCACCACTGCCCTCTCGCCCACCATTGTCCTCTCACCCAGGATGGCAATGGCGGGCAATGGCAGGAGGCACGACAACGGCAGCGGCGGGCAGCAGGAGGCACGACGGCGATGACGGCAATGGGGGCATGACAAGGACGGTAGGGGCATGACGAGGACGGTAGGGGCATGACGAGGACGGTAGGGGCATGACGAGGACGGGCACACGACGGCGACGGCACAGGCACGACGACGATGAAGGCAGGGGCACGACGAGGACGGCGGGGCACCAGGCACCCTTCACCCTCGCCCTCGCCCCTCATTCGCTCCCCCATCCTCTGCCTTGCCCTCTCGCCCCCTGCCTTGCCCTCTCACCCTTGTCCACCCCTCATTCGCCCCTCGTTTGCCTGCCCTCTGCCCTCTGCCCCGCTGTCTCACCCAATTTGCCGCTTCGCTCGTGTCGCCCTCTCGCCTACCTCGCCCCTTTTGCTCCTTTTGCCCCCCTTGCCCTCTCGCTCCTTTCGCTCACCCTGCCCACCTTGCCCTCTCACCCCTTGCCCTCTCGCCCCTTGCCCTTCCGCCCCTCGCCCTCTTGCCTTTGCCCTTTTGCCCCTCACCCTTTCTCCCTCTTGCCCTCTTGCCCACCTTGCCCTCTTGCCCACCTTGCCCACCTTGCCCTCTCGCCTTTGCCTTTGCCCTCTCACCTTTGCCTTTGCCCTCTTGCCCTCTTGCTCTTGCTCTCGCCATCTCGCCGTTTTGCCGTCACTGTCACCGTTTTGCCCTCTCGCCCCCTGGCCTCTGCATCCCCCCCTGACCTCCGCCATCTCCCTCTGCCTTGCGAACAAACTCCACGAGTGGTGGAGGGCCGAACACACAGGCAGAGGGCAGAGGTGACCCAACGACGGGCAGAGGGTGGAAGAGGGGCGAATGCCCGTCAACGAGCAGTGGAGGGTCGAACGACCCCCAACGATGAGCAAAAGGGGCCAGAGGATGCCCCAATGGGCGGAGGAGGGGGGAAGAGGGGCGAATGGCCCCCAACGAACCGCAGAGGGCCAAACAACCCCCTAACGAGCAGAGGAAGGCCAGCTGGCCCCCAACGACGAGAGGAGGAGGAGTGGAGGATGCCCCAATGGGCAGAGGGGGGGGGAAGAGGGGACAACAGCCCCAAATGAGCAGCAGAGGGCCGAATGACCCCCAATGAGCAACAGAGGGCCAAACAACCCCCAACAAGCAATGGAGGAACGAACGGCCCCCAATGGTGAGCAGAGGAGGGACAGAGGAACAACCCCCAACGACGAGCAGCAGGCGGCCCACCGAGCAGAAACGACGCACTGTGATGCATCGTTTCTGCTCATTATCTCTTCATTTCACAGTGGGTGGCTGGTAGAGCCACCCGTACCATGTATATATTTTTTAAAAATTATAATATGATTTTTTTCGTAATTTTTTCATGTGCTATGAGACATCCCTGAGCTCGCTGGACGTTGTGACAGATGACGGCGAGAGCATTACATTGGGTATGTCATGGTAATTACATGATACTCTAAAAATAGCCACAAGCCCCAAAAAACGGCCGCATCATCCAAACGCACCTGGCCCAATCCAGCCAATCCTGCTCCCATCTCCGAGCCACGGCAGTCCCGGCATGACCTCTCTCTTAGGCTGACTGCTTTATGACAGCCAGGACTGATCCCGTCCCACTGCTTAAAGGCAGTATTTGATATAGAATTGTAGCTGACATGGCTGTTGAGGTGTCATTGGCAGTGGTGCACGACGAGGGCAGTCGCCAGGTGTTGGTTGAAGACAAGGATCAATGACGTTTGTGGTCATTGATTGCTTGTCCAGCAAACACCGTGAGCGATTTGATTGGCTGGTGCTGGCGGTCCAGGCAGCCCACGTTCCACTCATCGACCTTGGAAGAGCCAATATGCTTGAGATACAAGGAAACCCTTTTGATTAATGATCGGTAATTAGTTACACTACCTTTTTCTATGTATTTATAAAGGCCCGAATATTATCTGAGGCAGTGAATGAGCTAAAAGCTCGAGTTATCGTTTCCACGTGGTGATTTACATCTTTTTGATGTTCCAACCTCTCGAATACCACATGTTCGACGAGGTGAAACATCATAATAACCATGCATTTGAGATCCTTGGGTAAGTCTGTACATCATATAAAAAATTTAGCCTGAATTTACCATGTAAATCCTACAATACAAGCTGGTGTCTGATATTTGACACATCCTTGAGTTGGCTTCATATCAGTATTCACATTGTCGTTCATAGATTCTTAGTGTACATCCTAAAATTAATAAGTTCGTCAGGGGAGCTCTATTCCTCAATACTATCATAACTAGCCAGTCTGCATACCATTTTTATAGACTTATTTGGCTTCTTCTGCTTCTTGGAATCTACATATGGAGGAGAGAGTCCCCCAATTGGCCTGATCCTGAGATGAATTCACTCATAGAATATTTAAATCTCATTAAATTTTGTTAAAATTACATGAATAGATGGGTTTATATTCTAATAACAATTCCCGAAAGTTTTAATAGAGAAAGGATACATTCTGCATCCATCGGAGACGTTCCGTTGTCGACCAACGGAACGGAAACGGGATCGGGCCAATAATCCCAGCCAATGGGATGCACAGCCGAATCCCGCGGAACTGCGATCAACGATGTTGAACATTGTTGATCTGAGTCTTTCTCCACCACCTCCCTCATCCCCTCACTGTGAGGCAGCCCTGCAACTCAAAAAAGGTAAGCATATATTCTTCTTATGTATTTACATCCCTACTAACCAGCCTTTGCTCTTACAGAACCCTGTTCGCGTCAATGACAACGCAACGAAGCCCCTCCCCTTGCGACAGGGATGTGGGCTCAGACACCCCCCTGCCCACCACCGCCCTCTCGCCCACCATCGCCCTCTCGACCAGGACAGCAACAGCGGGCAACACGACAATGACAGCAGGAGGTACAACGACGACGACGGCAGCAGGCACTCTCACCCTCTGCCTCACCGTCTCTCCTGTCGTCTTGCTCTCATCCACCCCTCATTCGTCCCTCGTTCGCCCACCGTCTCGCCCTCTACCCTCTGCCCTCGCCCTCACCCTCACCCTCACCCTCACCTTCACCCTCACCCTCTGCCCTCTCCCTCTCCCTCTTGCCTTTTGCCCTCGCCCTCGCCCTCGCCCTCTTTCGCGCCCCTCTTGCCCCTCTTGCCCCTCTTGCCCACCTTGCCCCTTTCACCTCTTTCGCCCCTCTAGCCCACCTCTCCCACCTCGCCCTTTCACCCACTCCCCACCTCGCCCACCTCGCCCTTTCGCCCTTTCACCCCTTCGCCCTCTCCTTCTGCCCTCTCCCTCTTTCGCCCTCGCCCTCCACTTGTAACAGCCAGAAGTATGCATCAATAATAGGCTACTGGCAATTCTCGGTCATAAATCATAGCTGCCAGTAGGCAGCCAGGCTTTTTTATATGTGCTGCTGGGCTTGCCAGGGCTTGGGGCTGTCTGCCGAGGCTGTGAGGACAGCAAACAATGGCCAAACAATGCTCGGGGATGTTGCATAGGGTGCTCGTCGTTGTTGGGGGCGGGACGGGGCACGGGAAAACTTCCGAATTGGGTACAATGCAGGAGAATGCCTCGCCGCAATGCCCGCCAATGTAAGTGGGGTCTAGCTCATCGTTGCGGACAGCGGGCAGCACCATATTTTGGAATTATAATGTCGGGATGCCTTCTTACCCATTTCAGGTGTTTGCCCGCCTCAGGGGACGGCGGGATGGGTGGATGGGTGGGTGGTGGTTTGGATGTCGTTCTATTCTTAGACCACGCCATTCGGCGACCTCGGGCACACTCAAAAGTACACCAGAAAAGTGCAAAATTTTATATAAAATCATAATAAAATAAATACATGGTAGAGGGTGGTTCTACTGCCACCTGCTATGAGGCAGAAGCAAAATGAGCAGAAGTGGTGCGTTCCTGGCGTGCCGTTTCTGCTCCAGGGGGAAGGGGGGTTCAGGTTGCCTGCAGTCGTGGTGGTCGCCCTCGCACAGGGTTGCTCGCGCTTGCCGTGCCACGCCCGCTCATGCTCACATTGCGATCGTCGTCGTGGCACGGTCGTCCTTGCGCCATCCTCCAGCCATGTCTGCTAGAAATCTATATCAGACACTGTATTTTTACAAGGTATGCTTATATGTCAGGACTGTGGTTTTACAGTCCACCTACAGAGAGGGCCTTGCTGGGTGTGCTGGGGCTCGCAGCTGTGGGCGGGACATGTCAACACAAGCAAACAACACAGGAAACAATGCCCGAGCATTGTTCCTCATCATTTGGGGTGCTCCTGCCCCCATTTTTGACAGGGAAAAGGCGCCAACGATGAGGAAATATGTTTCCTCATCGTTGTGCACCGTTTCCCCCATTGTTGGGGGGCGGGATTGGGTGGATTGGGCCAGGTGGGTTTGGATGACGTGGCCTTTTTTCGGGCCCTGGTCCTATTTTTAGATAATGCTGTAATTACAATGACACATCTCTTTAAAGCTGTCGCCGTCGTTTGTCACGACGTCCGGCGAGCTTGGGGTACACCAAAAAAATAGCAAAAAGAATGGTATTAAATTTAAATAAAATAGATACATGGTGCTGGTGGCTCTACCAGCCACCTACTACATGATAAAGAGAAAATGAGTGGAAACGACGCCTCATGACGTGTCGTTTCCACTCTGGTCTTGGTCCATGCCCTTTTGCAGCGAAAAAATGCAAAAAAAAATCATATTAAATTGTACAAAAAAAAAACAGGATGCGGGTGGCTAGTAGAGCCACCCGCTATGGAATATAGGTAAAATGAGCAGAAACAGTGCACTATGACGCGCTGTTTCTGCTCAGGGATGCAGGTACAGGTCCCCCCCACGGCCCTTCTGCCCTCTCTGCCCCCTCCTGCGCTCGTTGGGGCTCCCTCAACCCCTCATGGGGCCACTTCCACCCCCTCCACGCTCTCCACCCGTGCTCTCCGCCCCCTCTGCTGCTCATGGGGGGCCCATCTGCACCTCCTGTGCTCATTGGGGACCCATCCGCCCCCTCCTGCACTCGTGGGGCCCCCTTCTGCCCCCTCTGCCCCTTCGGGTGCTCGTTGGGCCTCTTCGGGTGCTTGTGGGGATTCTTCGGGTGCTCATGCTCCCCCCTCCTCATGCTCCCCCTTCTGCTTGGGCTGCTAGTGGCGGGTGCTGAGCAGGAGGTGAAGGGCGGTGAAGGGCAAACGGCGATGGCAAATGGTGACAGTGATGGTGAAAGGGCGAAAGGGCAAAGGCGAGGTGGGCGAGTGGGCAGAAGGACGAGTGGGCAGAAGGGCGAGTGGGTGAAAGGGCGAGTGGGCGAGAGGGAGAGTGGGCAAGGCAGAGGGCGAGGGCAAGCAAGGGGCGAGGGCAAGCAAGGGGCAAGCAAGGGGCGAGGGCGAGTGAGGGGTGGATGAGGGGTTGACAAGGGACCGATGAGGGGTGGACGAGGGATGCCAGGGGTGGACGAGGGATGCCAGGGGTGGACGAGGGATGCCAGGGGTGGACGGACGAGGGGCGAGACAGCGAGGAAGTGGGCAAACAAGGGATGAGAGAGGGGCAGACGAGGGGCAACAGGGCAAGGCAGAGGGCGACAGGGCGAGGGAGAAGACGAGGGTGTGGATGAGGGGCAAGGGTGGGGGCACCCTTCACCCCCGCTGCCGTCGTCATTGTCTTGCCCCTTGCCATCATTGTCTTGCCCCTTGCCGTCATCGTCTTTCCCCTGCCGTTGTTGTTGTCGTCCTGCCCCCGCCATTGTTGTCATTGTCGTCCTGTCACCATCATCGCTGTCCTGTCACCGTCATCGTCGTCCTGTCCCCGCCATCGTCGTCCTGTCCCCGCTGTCGTCATCCTGCTACTGCCGCCGCCATCGTCGTCGTCGTTCTGTCGCCATCGTCGTCATTCTGTCCCCGCCGTTGCCATTCTCTGCCTGGTGGAGAGGGCAATGGTAGGCAAGCAGGCAAGCAGGCAGGCAAGGGCAGGGGCAGGAAGGTGCCCGAGCCCACATCCCTGTTGCGGGGGAGGGGCGGCTTCGGTGGGTCGTCAGCAACATGGACAGGGTTCTGTGAGGGAAGAGGTTGGTTAGTAGGGGTGTAAGTACATAAGGAAAGTATATATTTACCTTTTTTGTGGGTTTTGGGGCAGCTTCACAGTGAGGGGGTGAGGGAGGTGGTGGAGAAAGAACCACATCAACGATGTTCAACATTGTTGATCACAATTTGGCGGGATCTGGCTGCCCATCCCATTGGCTGGGATTGTCGGCCCAATCCCGTTTCCGTTCCGTTGTCGACCAACGGAACGTCTCCGATGGATGGAAAACGGGTTTTATCTCTATGAAAACTCTCGGATATTGTTATTAGTATATAAATCTATCTGTATCTTTAATTTTAAATAAATATAACTAGATTTAATTTTTTTATGAATTAATTCATCTCGGGCTCAGGCCAATTAGGGGACACTCTCCTCTGCATGTAGATTCCAGGACAGAGAAGAAGCCAAATAAATATATAAAAATTGTATATAGACTGGCCTGTTATGATAGTATTGAGGAGTAGAGCTCCCCTGATGAATTTATTAACTTTAGGATGTGAACTAAGAAATCATGAACAAGGATGTTGATTCTGAAGCAAAAACCAACTCAAGATGTGTCAAATTTCGGACACTAGCTTGTATTGTAGGATCCACATTGGAAATGTAGCCTAAAATTTTGGTATGTTGTACTTACTTCCTCAATAATGTAAAATGAAAAGTTACTGTGATGTTTCAGCTCATCGAACAAGTGGTATTCGACACATTGGAAACATCTGGAGGACAAAAATCACCACGCGAGAACAGTAACTCGGTCTCCTGACTCGTTCTTGTTCTCAGAATATATTCGGACCTTTGTAAATACATAAAGTACAGTAGTATACTTAATTACCGATGATGATTCAACAGATTTTCATCATAGCTCAACAGTATTGGCTATTCCGAGGTTGAGGAGTGGAACGTGGGCTGGCCGGACCACCTGCACCAGCCAATCAAATCGCTCACAGCGTTCGCCGGATAAGCCATCAACGACGACAAACATCGTTGATCTCAGCTTCAACCGCCACCTGGCACTCCCCCTCTCTGTCCAACACCTCAAATGACCCCCCAGGACCGAAAAAACAGGTAAGTAATATGTTTTCTTTGCAAGTATATACTCTAACATACATTTTACTTCATATTAGGTCAACGAACACCAACTTGAAGTCGGCATTCGTTTTCTTCACCTCTCATGCCCCTCCCCTGTCATAGGGATGTGGGCACAGTGCAACTTCCTCTCTGGCAACCTCATCCCACCTCCCATCTGCTGTACCGCCCCCTCCCCCCCAGCTCTTGCGCCCATTGCACCCGTGCTGCCCATTACCCATCCCTCCCCTTCAACAGGGATGTGGGTGTTGCCCCCACCCCTCCTCTTGCCCTCCGTCCCTCGCTGTTCGCTGTTTGCCTCTCACCTTCCACCCCTCACCTCTCACTCTCCACCCCTTGTCTCTCACCCTCCACCCCTCGCCCT